CTGCATCGGGCTCTGTGCTGACAGCTCAGAGCCTGGAGCCTGTTTCAGATTCTGTGTCTCCCTCTCTCTCTGACCCTCCCCCGTTCATGCTCTGTCTCTCTCTGTCTCAAAAATAAATAAACGTTAAAAAAAAAAATTTTTTTTTAAATAAAACTTTAAGAAGATCTGCCCAACTTACCAACATGCCCTTCCTATCCTTACTTGTATAAATATTTGCCCACGGAATCAATGAGGAGAAAGAGTTGCAGTTCAATGCCGTTAAAATAAGAAGAAAAAAAACACAAGCACAGCCCATTGAAAAAAGGAACATGAGGAAGATACGAGAAAATAATCTGCCTGCACCAGAACAAAGCATGAATGTTGTCCTATTCTGGACTGGGTCCAGGAGACCAGCCTACGTGACATCACCCCACCACTTTCCTGTCCCTCCACCCGCCTCCCTCTCCACTCGGGCCACTTTGGGAAATGCCGCCCAAAGGTGCACAGCAAAGCGAGAGAGAAAGCAACCACGGGAGGAAACCACCTCCTCATAGAATGTTCCATCCATCAGGGTGACATGCAACTCCAGTTTCCAGAATAAGATATTTGGGCCACATCTAGCGATTGGCCCCCGAATGTTATGGGCTATGAAGAGACTTGCCGTACAAGTCATGAGCCAGAAAATGCCTAAATCAGATGTGTGTTCACTGATCCCACCCTGGCAGCTGAGTGTGTATCTACTACAACCGTGATGCCCAGAAGCCATGGCTGCTTTTGTAATGCTTGATGATAAAGATCAAGCTTTCATTTTCCTGGGGCCTCAATACGTGCTGGTGAATTATTTATCCCAATTGGGTTACATGATTTCCTTTCAGCATGTCGGTGTTCATCATGGAAGCCCATTCTAATTGTAAAGTTTGGGGCATTTTCCTGTTTTCTCCTTGGGGCACCTTGTAGCACCCTTTCTCTATCTCCAATTGCAACTGTTGCTATGCTGATTTAATATAGCCTTTGCTACTGGGTGCTGTCCTGCAAGATGAATGAATTTCATTCCATCTTTAAATATTTATGTTTCTTTATGATCTAATATATCATCGTGGTTAGGGGTAATTTTTTTTTTCCCCTAACTACAGAAAAAACACCATCAGTTACCTGTCGATTTTGTTTAATAACTCAGCTTTGCAATTCTGGGACCCGGTTCATCGGAGGCTCTTGAGGACTCTTTTAGTCTTCGAGTCCACTTCAGAACGTCATTCTGGGATTTATAAAGGTCTTCACTGCACAGAGGATATTGAAACATTAAGGACTTAAGTGGCACACCCTTTATCACTTATCCCGCTGAAGGATCCAGGACTAGAAATCCAGGCATCTTTGGTTGCTTGCTCCCAGCATGGAACAGTGGTCTCTGTAGAAAACCAGCCAGTATCTCTGGGAACAAATTTCATCAGATGTTTCAAAAGAAATCCAATTTCATCTGGTTAGATGGGCTCAATGTTACCCCCTAAGATAAGCGATGAAAATATCAACGTCATAATACAGAGAAACCCAGTTCCTTTGGTTTTATCTCAGTGAAAAGCATCACCATCCCTAATGTTTTTAGGTCCTTGGCTCAAGGAGATGGGCAGCAGTGGTTCTGTAACTCTTTGCACACCAGAGAGACTCCGGCTCAAAGTCCTTTGGGAATCACAATAGCTGGGGTGGGTCCTAAAGAATCTGCACTTTTCATAAGCTCCCAAGCACTTAACTGGTGGTTAAGTTAAGAACTGCAGTTCTTAACCAGTTAAGAACTGCAACCACCAAATCTCTTCTGGCTTTGAAAGAATCCTGAGCCCCAAATGCTCTCTCGTTCCATTCGGTAAGTCTAGATTCAAACATGTTTTCTTGAGCATGTTTTAAAATGCCTTCTCAGGTAGGTCCCTAAATGGACAGCTCTCTCCCTCATCTGTGCATCTAAGGGAACCTGAATTCGGTGATACAGGGCTTCATTTGTCAAAACAGGGGCTCGTGTCACGGAGGAAGCCATGGTGTGCCAAGGGACATGCAGAGCCATGGGAAAAATATGATGTGTCTTCCTACAGCATCAAGCTTTTCTTTAAAATAGCATTTTTAGGGGCTCCTGGGTGGCTTAGTTGGTTAAGCGTCCGACTTCGGCTCAGGTCATGATTTTGCGGTCCATGGGTTCGAGCCCCGCGTCAGGCTCTGTGCTGACGCCTCAGAGCCTGGAGCCTGTTTTGGATTCTGTGTCTCCCTCTCTCTGACCCTCCCCCATTCATGCTCTGTCTCTCTCTGTCTCAAAAATAAATAAACGTTAAAAAAAAATTAAAATAGTATTTTTAAGTTACAACAGATGCGTTGTGGAGTAGGGGTGGTTCACACGGGTTTTGTACTGAACATGAAACTTCTGAAAAGTTCCTGACTGTATCTGATATTGGGCTCCCAGAAGTCTGCAGGTTAGAGTTAATTTGACTCTCCTATTAGAAGCACCTCTGGGGGCGCCTGGGTGGCTCGGTTGGGCGTCCGACTTCAGCTCAGGTCACGATCTCACGGTCCGTGAGTTCGAGCCCCGCGTCAGGCTCTGGGCTGATGGCTCAGAGCCTGGAGCCTGTTTCCGATTCTGTGTCTCCCTCTCTCTCTGCCCCTCCCCCGTTCATGCTCTGTCTCTCTCTGTCCCCAAAATAAATAAACGTTAAAAAAAAAAAAAATTTAAAAAAAAAAAAAAAAAAGAAGCACCTCTGTCTACATTCAAGGTTACCTTTGACCAGTGATTTCCAACTATGTGGTTCCAGGAGGTTAAAGTGAACCATCATTTACAGAAAATTAGCCCCAAGAGAGGGCTAACCCTCTACACAACGATGTTGAACCGTTTGCTGCGTGGAGTACTCGTAAACCTGCCAATATAAGACGAGCACTTACCCGCCACTATTTAGGAAATATTCACAAAAGGGTATTCTTTTTTTTTTTTTTAAGAGTGTGTTAATTAGAAAAGGAGGTTCAGCAGAGCAGGAAAAGGAGCTAGCCACATGAAAGGACACCCTTACCGACCACATTCCCATTGTAGCAAAAATGCATAAAATATTCTTGAAATTATGAGCTCCTAGAATGTATTCCTCACTATAAGGATGGCTTACTTCTCCCAGAGGATGTTCTTTTTATCAAGATGTTCTTGGTGAACAAGAAGCAAACGCAAGACTCAAATTCAACGACCCTGGTAGATCTGTAAGATCCCTTCATCTCTGGAATTGCCTTGGGCCTTCTGCCGTGGTCTGTCCCTCCATTGAGGCAAAGCTGCCTTTCCGGTCAGAAAGAAGGAAGTAAACTGCCTGGGAAGGCTCCTCTGTCCTTTGCCTAACCAGCTGTGATAGCATTGCTTGGCTCAGAGCCTGCGCTCAGCTTTACCTCCTGGGTAATTGGTAGTAGCCGTGCAAGTCCGAGCCTCAGTGTAGACCCGGTGAGGAACAATATGGTGGCGTAATGTTGGTGTTGAGAAGAGCAAATGGCTGCCTTCCCCTTTCCTGACTCCCACCTCCCCCATCCTGCTTCTGCATTACTGGAGACTCGCAGTGATGCACGTGCTCTTCTCTCCTCCACCCAGGCTAATGGCCTTGCAGCCAAATGGATCTCAAGTCCCCAACTTTTTGCTAGAATTATAACCAATTCCCTCCCAGACCATTCTGTGTACTGTTGTCACATGTATCTTCCAGAAGCACAACTTGGATGGTGCTTCTGCTCCCAACAGAACCTTGAGAGCTGAGGGAGGGAGGTCCTTTATTGAACTGACTAGGTCTATGGTTCTTTATTAACTTAACTAGCCTGATCATCAAATAGTCTGTCTTCTGGCTTCAACTGCCTTTTCCCAAAACTCTGGTTTTTAGCTGCCATCCCCAGGCTGACCAGAGTCCTCTTCCCAGGAGGAATCTTTGCTTCTGCTCTTCTCTTTTCCCTTAGTCTAGAATTTCTCTCCTGGAAGCCCTGCCTGACAATATGCTACCCCATCCGAAGTCTTCCTTGAATCTTCACCTTCCCCTCCACATGGTGGGCTTTCTCCTTCCTCCCCTATAAATTCATAACATTTATACTTCCCTCCTGTCAACTGGAACATTGTTCTTGTCTTTTTCTGTGAACAAGGAGCGTTGGACTGCGAGTCAGAAACAGGTGCATATCCTGCCACAGTCCCTCTCTTCTCTGTGACATTAGACAAGTCCTGTCACTTTACCATGTTTCAGTTTCCTTTTCAGAAAAAAGGGAGTTATAGCCCCCTAGGTGTAGTGAAGGATAAATGACACATTACGTGGAAATTCACTTTGCCAACAAAAACACAATCATGGTCTCTCTACTTCTCATTATCTGTCCAACTCATCTCTGAGCTATTTGAGGAAAGAGGCTAGGTCTTGCTCATCATTATATACTTCTATTACTATCATGACTTTATTAATACATTATTATTATCTCTGATAATAATAGCTAATATTTATGGAGCATGTATGTTTGTTGGACACCATTCCAAGTGCTTTATATGGATGAATTCATTCTTCTGATAACTCTAAAAGGTATTATTGTCCCACCTTATGGAGGAGAAAAGCATACACTGCACAGAACCTCCAGTGAGTGAGTGAGTGAATGGATGAGGGATTGAATGGGACAGAAATGGTTTTTGCAATGCCTACCGGATGATTATTTCTCTTCCTCTTGGTTCCACCCCTACTTCTTTTTCTTTGGATCTCCCCAGGTAAATGTAACATTAGGGGAAATCTCGAGTGAACTGAGACCCTGAAAGATGTGAGGTCTCCCCGAGTCTTCATTTGGACATGGTCTCGAGAAGAAAGCTCCAGTGGGGTCCAAGAGGACAGAGAATGTGCTTGTCTTCTTCCCCATTATATTCATAGAGCCTAGAACAACAATGCCTAGTGATCAATAAATGTTTATTGAATAAGGTATTTACAAGCAGCATATTCATTACCACTAAAGCCACATAAGTGGCTGACAGTGGAGATGGTGAACAGTATTCTGTCTTGTTTCCTCAGGCAGTATTACGAGATGTTATACAACACGGCCGACGAGCTCCTGAACCTGGTGGTGGACCAGGGCGTGAAGTACACAGAGCTGGAGTACATCCATGCCCTGACCTTGCTGCACCGCAGTCAGACTGGGGTGGGAGACCAGACCACTCAGAACATGAGGCTGCAGCGGCTCAAGGAGATCATTTGTGAGCAGGCTGCCATCAAGCAAGCCACCAAGGATAAGAAAATAACTACGGTTTAATTGGGTGCACTTCTGGGGGAGGGGTGGGGGTGGGGAGGGGCGGTCATTTTTGTTTACTCAGTCATGAGTAACTGCTTCTTTCAGTAGATTTTTACTCTCCTGACCTCGTTGGTTTACAATTCAGTAAAATAAGTCTATGTGTGTTACTTTCTGTCTCTATTACCAAGATCAAATCAGTGGCTTCTCCAAGCCAGCTGTAGTTTTCAACAAATTCTCCTAACCAAAACAAGACCTCTCCAGGGCCAGGGGAAAAAGTTCTTTTATCTCAGTCCCTGAGACAGACAGCTTTCTGTGTAGCAGCTTGTCCCCAGGTCCTAGTCAGTGTATCGCCTCTGCATTTTTCTTTCTGCTGTCTCAAAACCAAGAGCCATCAAATTAATGACAAAAATGGAAGGTTGAATGGCGATCCAACCCTCTTCTTGATTTTTTTTTTTCCCCTCTACTTTCCAAGAGAAGATGATGAGTAGAGAACTTTTATTATCAGTTAAACATTGTTTGGATGTGAGTGCTTCTTAGATGCTTTACTTGCTCTCAATATGAGCCCCTAGGACTTTCTCACCTTAGAAAGGAGCCCTGGTCCACCCAGCTGAGTGCACGGAAGATGAGACAGCATGACGTTCGTCCTCTGTGCACCCACAGCGGAGTCCATTTTCCAGAGTGCTCCCCAGGGTTATGGGCGTTCACCGCTCGTGGCACACTCGACCCCACCGTGGCTCCCACGTCTCCAAGCACTCCTGATACTCATGGTTGATATGTCACAAGAGAAAGCAATGCACCCACCACCGGGGACACGCCTCGGGAGCACGTGGAGAGGAGAGCAGGAAGGACTTTGACCATACACGGTCATGCCTCACGTTGTGATGGTCCAGAATTGTACAGCTTTGGTCTTGGTAGGAAAAGCAGAAAATTAAAAAATGTTTTGAGAAGCCGAAGTGTTGTGTGTTGTCCTTCTCGTGTTCTTTATTCAGCAGACATTCCCTCAAGGCCTAATATGTGCCAGATGCTTCTAGGCAGAGCGGTGGATACTAGACAATGAGGGAGGATACCTTGTTGTCTACCTTTAAGACAGAGCCCGGACACTGGACTCTGACCAAGACCCTAGTGGGGTGTGCACTCAGGGCTGAGTTAGAAATCAGGGCTGACGGTGGGAATTCAGCAGGCGGCCAGAAGATGGTCTTCCGGAGGGTCCTGGAAGAAATACTGTAAATCTGTATGCTTCAGAGGCCTGGTCGGAAAGAAGTTGAACCCACATAGGAGACAACCAAGGAAGAATATCCGGCTTCTAAACAACACCGTAGAAAAGTAGTCTATCCGAGAAGCAAGGGTGGGACAAGGGAGACGAGGGAACCCAGAGCCGACCTTTTTGGTTCGGAGGCCTCCTCTTAGTGGCTGTGACTTCCCAGCGTGGTTTATGTACCCCCCTCTCCTCCTTCCTTCCGCTCTAGGTGAAGAACCCTGGGGTGCTTATGGTTTGCCAGAAGAGCCAGGAGTGCAGTTGGTGAGTGCTTAGGAGGGTTTTAGTGGACGTGGAAAGGGACACGGGTTTGGAGGGAGGAGAGATGCCGAGAACACTGAGAACCAGCAGGAAGATGGCCGATGGGCTGCTGCGGGGGAGCGCTTAGAAAAAGGAGAACCCCTGCTTTGCTTCCAATAATGATAGGATTGAAAAATGTCGGTTCTGCACAGAGAAAATGGCCTATGCCTCTTTGTCCAAGACACTCAAGGCGCAGATTTCTTTGTAGGATCAGTCATTGTTTAGGACAACCTATTCATTCTTTAGGACATTTTTTAGGACAACCCATTGTCCCATTTCAAGGACAACCCATTTTCAAGGACAACCCATGACCTGTTCAGTGGACGGTTGAACGGATGCAGATAGAGTGACATCATTCACAGAAGCCCCAGCCCCTCTTCTTGCCTGAATGTTTTCTCACCCTGACCGTCAGTAGTTTCTGTTTCAAATAGCTTGGGGAGAAAAACCCCAATACAGCCAAGTTGAATTGGCTACCACACCCAATGGTCTTCCTGCCGAGTCATATCCGGGAATGTCTTAGCACTACCGCATTCATTCAGCCAAAAAGATGTAATTGCCCCCTTAGAGCTCAGGGGATAATGGGATTCACGTGGTGGCAGGCAACAGAGGCAGCCCCCTGTGACGTGGAGCTTATCCTTCCACTCCGATCTTGCCCTCCCCAGAGTTTGTACTTGCCACTCCACCCACCAAGACTGGATATCCTTTCACTTAGGAAGGCATCTCAGAGGATGAAGGACTGAAATCTTCAGCCCGGCCCTCCGTTGCTCTCTTCTGAGCTTTGCCCTTTTGGCACCTCGGGACTGTATCTCGCTCTTCACTGTGCCTCCCTGGCTAGCCAGAGCCATCGGTTGATGGAGCAAATGGATTCCTGCCTCCCGGGTCCCACGAAGGGACTGAGGCCATTGTGTTCCGGATCCTCCCTCTGGAACATAGCTGTGGCTGCCTCCCTAGCACCAGGGCGCAGGCATTTCAACCAGAGGGTGTCGGGTCTCCACCAGCCCTCGCTGAACTCCACTGCACTGGAGGCAAATGCGACGAGAAATCTGGCCAGGTGGCTATCCTTGTGGCAGGAGGTAGTAGGAAAACGAGGAAGTGTCCCGATCAACAAGATTGTGCTCGAAAAGCACAGTGTGTGCCGAAACACACACCCCTGAGAGCAATTGTCTTAATGTGGCAGGGATGTAAAACAAATTGGGCATCATTTGGAGGGAGGGTAATGAGGTACCAAGGAGAGGCAAACAAAGTCTTGGCTCAGCAAAGGTCTGGGCTCTGTCCTAATTAGCCGCAGTTGTTATACGAAGTACGTAATTAATAAGCGTGTGACCAGACGTGAAATACGGCAGAGTCTCTTCCTGAAACGGAAGTTGTGAGGAAGTGCACGCAGCTGGAAGCAGTTGTCCTGATCGGGCTGAGGCGGGCAGCCTGCCTGGAATTTTGAAGAGGTGCACTAAGAGGCACACCACAGGTTCGCACCTGAAAACGACGAATCCTTTTCCAACTGGGCTGGGCGGTAATGAGATCTAGCTCATTATCACTGGGTGTAATGGGATGCAAACACCACTGGAACGGAGCTGGAAGTTTCCTCAACAGTGAACTCGGATGCAAACAAGCAGAGAGGATTCTGCGAACGGGGCCGGGCGTGAGTAGGAGGAAACGTGCACCACGCGAGGACCCGCTTTAACATACCTGCCAAGGACTTGTGTCTGTGGTTAAAAATATTGGCAGGACATTCGCACACCTGGAGCAGGAGCCCCTGGGAAGCTGGGAATGCAGTGACCCGCAAAAGCTGCACATGTATTTTTTCAGCGTACCTACAACATGCGAATGCACATACAACTGGGGAAAAATGAGGTTGGGGTGCCAGGTGAGTGTAGCTCCCGTTATATACCATCCCTGTTAGAAAAGTGGCCTCCCTCAGATTCCTGCTGACTTTGCAATGCATGCTGGAGGAGGAGAGAAATTGGCAGTCTCTTCAGCTCAAATGTACGTACCTAGCAGGCCGAGCTTTCTTTCACTAAGGTTTATTTACTGCGAGCGAAAACCAGGAAAACAGCACCTGGTCGTACTTTTATGATTGCTGTTACGTTATTTTGGATCTCGCTTACTGAGCACTTAATATGTGTCAGGTGTTGTGCTAAATGCTTTACCACGTTATTCCATTTAATCCTCAAGGAATCCTGCGAGATTGTTACTAGTACCGTCCCTACTCTGCGGAAGAAACCAAGGCGCGGTTTAAGACGTAGCCCATGGGGCACCTGGGTGGCGCAGTCGGTTAAGCGTCCGACTTCAGCCAGGTCACGATCTCGCGGTCCGTGGGTTCGAGCCCCGCGTCGGGCTCTGGGCTGATGGCTCAGAGCCTGGAGCCTGTTTCCGATTCCGTGTCTCCCTCTCTCTCTGCCCCTCCCCCGTTCATGCTGTGTCTCTCTCTGTCCCAAAAATAAATAAATGTTGAAAAAAAAAAAAAAAAGACGTGGCCCAGATGGACGCCAACACCGGAGTTCAGACTTGGAACCCCTCTCTTCTCACCCCTTGGGGCAAAGGAGGGACCCGCACCTGTTATATTTGAACTCCAACCGATATTCTCTGGTAGTTTAACACCTTCATCTACTGTGTCCTCTCCTGTGGTTCCCAGAGGACTGGATGGGGGACTGCCTTTCCCACTCTCCTCTGCTGCTCCCCAGCTCACTGTGGCCGATAGAGCCACAAAACTCTTGGAAACAAGAACTTTCGGCCCAGGGGCTGAGCCCAGCCAGCTGGAGGCCAAAGATGATCCATACCTGGACCACAGGCCAGAACGCCAGCCGGGTGGCTCAGGTTTTAGAGTCCTCTGTACCTTGGCTCAGAATGTCACCTCCACCTCATATAAGTGGTTTGCTGTGGTATAAGCTGTTAAGCGCCCTAAGTGTCAGTTTCCTCATCTGTGAAATGGGATAATAACAATAACAATAATAATAATAGCTCTTATCCCACAGTGTTAAGGTATAAAATAAAAGAGGTGCCTGGCATATAATAATTATCACATATGCATAATAATATTCTAATGAAAATATTATTATTTTGTCGGTTTCTTTGAGGAGCTATGGGCCCATATCGGAGGACCTGCTCTATGGATGTGGTGTAGGAGTGCAGCCGCCTTGACAGGGTTTGTCAGAATGGCCTGGGATGTGCTGGGGGCGGGGGGCGCGGCCAGGATGCTGCTTGTTGTAGGTGGAAGCTGGGCACCCCCACACAGCAATAGTTCTGACTTTGACTTTGTTATTTCCTTGTTGCAGCCCCCTTTGCAACAGGATGACCACCCTCCCGCTGTCTGCTTCCTGGTCCCGCTTCCCTTTTAGCGATTAATGAATATGCATCTCATTGCCTGATGATGTATTATGCGCATCTCATTAAACTCCGAAGGCTCCACCAGCCTTTAGGGACCGGGTCTTAAGGACATCCGTAATGGCCTTCTGCCTGGGATTTGAGT